GTCTGCGCCCGCGCTTGTGCTTTGTATCGGGGGTTATTTGTGGTTTTGTTTGTTTGGCGGCTGGCGCTCCCCCCGCGTTTCCGGTGGTGCTGTGTCTCCCTCCCTTCTCCTGCCGCCTTCCCCCCCCGCCCCCCCCGCGGTGTTGGTTCGTCCCTTCAGGCGGCGCTCCCGGGGAGCCCCACGTGGTTTCCCCGTCCCGCCGCCCTCGCGGCTTCCAGGCAGCACCGGGGGCACCCCCGCTCCCCTGCCCGCCCTGAGCCCCTCCCGGCACCTGCCGAGTTCCCCCGCGCCCGCCCGCACGGCCCCAGCCGCGGGGTTCGGCGTTGGCGGACAGCCCCGCGCCTTTACAGAGAGCCGCGACGTCAGTTCCCGGCCTCGGGAATAACCGGGATAACACAGGGGGGAATAAAATCCCACAGGAGAAAGCAGAGTTGCGAGTGGGTTTCTCTGAACTCGTCCTCTGAGGGGTGGGGACAGAGACGGCCTAATTTTAGAGAGTGCCCCGGTATTGGTGTGGAAGTACAGGTTAGTCGGGAGGGAGAATAAGGGCTGGAGCTGAAGGATCGTGGTGGAGGAGGAGAAAAGTCTGTGCTGGCATGTTCCCCTCGGAGCAACAGATGGGAGATGTCTGGTTCGCTGGAGCCGCTCTGAGCGAGCGGCGTTACAGGGCACGGCTCTGATGAAAGGGATGCGTTTGTCTTACCTTGTCCCGCACACACCCTTCGCTCCGGGAGGTGTGGGTTTGGGAATGCTGACGGGCAGCTATCTCTGGAGTAAAGTGCAGCAGGTATTTGAGGGCAGGCGGTTACAATGCGGGGTAGCACGGGGACGGACGGAAGGGCTGTGCTGGTGTGTTTGGTTGTCGACACTGCAACAAGTGCTCTTTACGCTCCCAGCACAAAGTTCTTACCTGCTATTGTCCAGCTTCTTGTGTCAGTGAAGAACTTGGTCTGTCAGCTTCAATCCCTTTTCACGATATGAGAAGCTGACAAACTTATGTCCAGGTTTGAAAACACACTTTCAAATTCTCCCGTGCTATATTTTTTCCTGGATATAATAACATAATTACCAGTTACAGTATAGGAAGGAGCAATGAAACAAACAGAGACACAAATGGCTGTGAAAGAAAAGGTCCAGCTCCTCTCTTTGAAGTTTTTGACATTTTTTCCTCTCAGTTTTCCCCTTTGTTCCCACCTAACTTCATTTGGCCACACGGTGGGCACTGGTGTTAGTTGTGTGCAGTAACACATGCGGTATGTTCGTGTTAACAGTTTGTGGCACAAAGTAAAAGTTTTGGTTGGATGGGGGAGCTCTCGATGTGCTGCTGGTGCCCACACAGCCCTCACAGAGGCAGCATCTCTGAGCTGCAGGTAACTCAAATTTCAGCTGCATAAACAGGTCAGCCAAGCAGCCCTAAGTTACTGCACATGCATAAGAAAATCTCTGAAATGCATTAATGCAGTGAGTGCTCAGAGCAGTTCGACTCTTTTTTTAATCTTTACATACAAGATAAATAGAGACCAGTGACTGGCTCTTCTGGCACCAGAGCCAAGGGGCATCAAATGGAACTGGCAGGTTTGGAATGAAATAGAGAAATGTCTCCACAGAATTGTAGTTCAGCTGTGGAACTCCTTGGCAAGAGTGGACTGTGGGGTTTTAAAGTGATTAGATGAATTCACAGAAGAGAAATCACTTAAGGCCTGTTGAATGCAGAACATCTCTAGCTCTGGAAATCCCAGGGATGCAAATAACTTGTGCCTGGAGGAGCACCCCTGGTTTTCTGTGCCTTCCCAGGGATCTTGGCTCCTGTCAGACATGGGTATCTGGTGGGACCTGATGTGGAGGTCCTGAATGTGGTAAAACTCCCTCAGATAGTCCTTAAGCAATCTGTTTCTGTGTCACCTTGCAAATTTTATATTTATGAAGAGCTTGTCTCTGCAAGGAAGAAATTCTGGATGTAAGAAGTGTAAGTGGTGAATTCTTACTAGTTTATTGTGTGGAAATTTTGAAATAAAAATTACTTTAAAATTAAGCTAAAAAGGGATTTTTTTTGTGTGATTTGTGGTGCATAGGAAGCCATGCAAATAATTTGCTCTATAGACAAATAATACTAATAAAGTTTGTTCCAATTAATGATTGACATGTTTAATTTATTAAGAGTTTTGATGTTTTGTTTCATCTTTGGGGGTTTTTTCCTGCATGTTTCTTCTGTCCTAGAAAGCAAAGTTCAGACTACGAGGAACACAGTCGGTGTAGCTTTAACTCTGTTTGGTTCAGGTTTGTACAACCTGAAAAACTGCCTTTATAGCCCCCTGATCTCAATGCAAGGTTTTGATTAACTTCAGCCAGGGTTGGATCAGGCTGGAGGGATTCATTTAAACTCATTTAATTTAATTTTTTTTTTTTTTTTACCCTCCACCCTTTTCAGTTTTCTACTTCCTTCCTCTTGCAGAGGTGGAGTTTCAGGACTTGACATTCCAGTTTGCCAGGGACGTGTTGGTGCTGGGGCCTGGAGCTGTGGGGGACAGTCAGGCCACTCATTATGGTAATTGCTGCTCACTGGAGGTTATTTGGTCCAGGCTGGAAGAGTCAAGCTGGTCATGAAGGTTGAGCTCTGAAATCAAAGAGCTCTTGGCTGCTCCGAGGGGATTTTCTGCCTAATTTGGGACTGACTGGTGAGCGGGTGCTTAGGAAAGGCTCGGCTTAGATTTCAGCCCAAGCTCAGCACCCCAGACCCAGAGAGTGATGCAGATCCAGTGGGATCCATGGATAGTGATCCTTCATGGCCATTAGCCAAGGAGCTGGGAATTCTGATGACTGTGCCCTGATTTATTAAACACCTATTACTTCAGGGCTTTCCCCCCCTCCCCGCTTCCTGATATCCTTAAGAAAATATTCCTTTAGTAGGATGAAGGAACACTTACTGACCCATTTATAAACCAGAGCCATTTACATGTCTCAATAAACTAACTTGTGGGCAGGGATTGCCAATTGGATTTGTGAGAGGCCAACACACTGAGCAGCAGTAATGCAGATTTTGATTTATAAAGTTCTCTAATCAATCAATAGAAGCCTGAGTGAGACAATCAGATAATCTGAATAATTAAATGCCTTTTCAGGGACAAATTAAAATTTCTTATCCATACCACATCCATCTAAATTGTATTTGGTGTCCAGGAATAAATGGGGTTTTTCTGTTTCACTCCTGTATCTCAAATGCTTTTGGCTTATTTTGAGATTATTTGAAAAAAAAAAAAAAAAGGATAAATGACAGTTTCTGCTCTTTTATATTGGAAAATATGCTCACAGAAAGAAAATGCTTGTTGCCACAGTTTAAGTATGTTAGACATTTATTTATTACTTGTATTCTATGTTAGATATTTAAATATATTACTTCCTTTAGACATATTAGACCATTTTGCTTTTTCCCCTCCTCAGAGATGCTTTCACATTTTTATTATATAGAAAATAATTTTTGTTATAGAGATTTTTTCCTTTTTTTCTCATATGCTTTCAACTGTGATATCCTGCTTCACCTCTGCATGAAGTGAATAAAAGTGGGAATTACTGGATCTTCTCACAATGCTTTCCACTTGCTTAAGGAATTACTATAGAGCAGATTTCCCCAAATGGGGGAGATGAATTTGAAGAGTCAGAAGGAACAAGTATTTTTCTTTCATTTACTCTATCAGAGCATAGTAAAAGAAGCTGGGAGCCAGGTGGCACAAGGAACAGAGTTTCTTTAAGCCAAGTGGAAGTACAATAATTCCCAGGTCCTGCCCTGTTCCTCAAGATGTGTTTGCGCAGTCGGTTCAAATCCACCCAAGTCTGCAGCACATACAGGTGTGGCAAAGAGGTGCCACCTCATCCACCCCCGGCTTCCGTGGCCTCTCCTCTTGCTCTTTGCTCCCAGCAGGACTCACGTGGCCAGGTGGAGATCCAGGAACTGCATCTGGCTGAAATAAAAAGAAGTAAATGAATTTGAGGATACCAGGAAGGGGTGGGAAATGCACAGGCTGGGGGGAGAGCGGGGGAAGAGTGGACCCCACTCTAGAAGGAGACCAAAAGTTTGTCCTGAGCCAGTCTGCAGTTTGCACATGAAAAATGCACCTCAGAACCACAGGCAGTTGGAAATGAATATCGTGTCCATCTCCTCCACCCTCCATTAGTCATCGCTTAACCAAGCCATACGCATTCAGTCCTTTTCATCTTTCTTCTTGTCAAGCCCTTTGGCCTGTCCCCCTCACCTACTCATCCCACCAATCATTTTAATTAATCTCTGCATTTCTTTGAAACTAATAGTTTGCGGAATGGAGGAAAATGAGTAGGTTAGAGAGACAAGATTGTGGATGATGGAGGTGGGGCAAAGTGAGGAGACTTTGCAAGACCTGTTGAGCGACCTCTGGGGCAGGACAGCACTGCTGTAAACACAGAGAAAGGCTGCACGAGTGAGGGAGGAACCACTAAAAACATCTTCCATTTTCCTAAGAATGTTGCCTGAGCAATTCAAACCCTGGATGTTCATGTGCAGCAACACATGAATGAAAGCTGTGATGGGATTGTCTCTAAAGTGGACAGGAGGATCTCTTCACCCAACTAGGTTTCTCACTGTTGTGCCTCCCATTCCCAGCTGGCTTTACAGACGATTTCAGTGCTCACTGCAAGTGCTCAGAAATACATTTCTGAGTATGACTACAAGTAATGAGCCATATATTTTTTTTACTCAAACAACTGTATGTATTTTAAAATTTTTGATTGAAATTCTGAGCAAAGAGAAGTCAACGTTGTCTAGAGATGAGTCTAAGAGGAATGCTGGGGCCTTACTTCCCGTGCTTTTTAGAATTCCAGAATGGTTTGGGCCGGAAGGGACCTGAAAGATCATCTAGTTCCAACCCCACTGCCACAGGCAGGGACACCTGCCACTAGAAGGATGTTTAGGATGTTGAAAATCTCAATGTCACACCGTTAATGTCTCTGTGTTCATTATTCCTATACCACAGCATAGCTGGTGCTCCAGGAAATAGAGAATGGGCAGAGTTCCCATCCTGTGGAGCCTACAGTCGGAAAAATCCTCTACACACCAAGAGGGCTGGCAGAGGAGCAGTTGATCCGCGGTGGGAGCCCAGGGAGGGAAGGTGAGCACGAGAGGAGGCACTGGAGGACGGGTGGCATATGGGAAGCAGACGGCTGTGCTTGGCATTGTGAGCTGGCAGCAGGAAAAAATTCCCCACACAAATAGAAGCATGTTGATGCTGAGTGGTGGGGAGGGAGATGAACACCTTTGAAAAGGTATTTATTATGTTTGGGGAGAAAGATCCCACTGGAAGCCTGCATTTGTTCCCATATTACCGAGGAGGGGGTTCGCTGTGGAGAACTGGAGGTGGCTTTCTGGCTCTTGGATATTTCCGTAAACACGCAATAAAGTCGGTAGTGTCAACAAAATGGATTTATTTATGGTTGTCAGTTGCGACTAAAAGCCGCAGAATAACTGGATTTAACTATTCAGAGGTAAAATAGCCCAGTTTTGATGAGGGTCTCTGAATGCTTGGATTTTTAATTAATAAACAGTCTGGCATCCTGACAAAGTCGACACCTTGCTCTGTCTTAGCAGCTGTTGGCACAGTGGGCTCCTGGCAACCTGGGATAAAGCCATGCTTGCAACAGGAGAAGGGGAGGAAGCGAGTCTGCGTGAGCCCAGAACTGCCTAGTGCAAAGCACCACAGAGCTCAGGGATTTCCAGGGAATAGTGAAGCTTTCCTGCCCTGTGCCGTGGGCTCTGGATCACACACGGACAGCGAGTCCTCATTACTGAACATCGGCAGTGGCTGGTGGGTGGCAGAGGAAAGGACACCTGTCTGGATTTGGGCAATGTCCCTGACAGGAGGAGCAATGAACAGGGAAAGCATTCAACAGTGAAAGTAGGTCCTGCAGGTTGCTCCCTCCCAGGGATTAGAGTGGTGGAGCCCGTGGGGAAGTTCACAGAGTGCCTGCTCACGTAATTCAAATGGAAGCATTCACTCTGGATGACAGTCATTTGTGTTGGAGTCATGGTATGGGAGCAGCTGTGGTTGCCAAAGAGCCAAGGAAGGCAGTGCAGGGAGGAACAGGCATAGCCGGGAAGGACAGTGCCTGGAAGCACAAACAGGGATCAAGCCTTTGGTTTTGGAGAAGGTGCTACAGAACTGCTTCTCTTTCTCAGTCCCAGCTGATTAATAAACAATCTGATCTCTGATCCCAGCTGAAGCATCACACAACAACAGTGTAGCTGCTCCCCCCTGATCCAGGCAGCCCTGTCATCTCAAAGGGTGGGAATGTCCCAGTCTTGCCCACAGCAACCTCTTAGGACTTCCACAGAACAAGAACCAGGATAGTCAAACCCCTCAAAATTGCTTTTATTTCCTCTTTTCTTTGGTAAAAGTTGTATGCAGCTGCTGGCACAATATCTATATGTTGCCTTATTTCAGAAGGAAGCAGACAAGGAAAATTTAGCCCAGGATCCATATTGATCCCTACCTGAGATCCTGGGTTTTTTTACAATGGGTTCAGGAGCGCTGTTCCCATGTGTGCTAGAGCAAGTCCATGAACAGCCAGCGGTGCCTTTGGCAGATGCATTGTTCAGCTCACAGGACTGTTCACAGCCTGTTGAGAACATATGAAACATATAAAAAGCCATAACATTTAAATATATTAAACTCAAGTTTACAAGATCGAGGAAAATTTTCAGGATAAAAGGACAATACTAAAGCAAAGGCCTAAGGGCTATGATGGCTGTGAATTGAGATTTGGTTTAGTTTAAATTTTACCTTTTTTTTGTGGAATAACTAGAAAGCCATTCCAGAAGTGGCTGTGTGGTATTTAAAGAGCTGGGTGCTCTGTGCACAGATTTCCAGAGGCTCCTGCTCAGTGAGGAGAGGGCTGTGGGCTCAGGTGAGTGATGTGTGAGAGGTGAAGCACGTGTGGTGTAAGAGTTAATGGCACAAGGTAGCCTTGCTCCATACGGGCACGTTTTGTGCTGATGTTTTCCAGTTGCTGCGTTCCTTGCAGTCAGGGTAGGAAAAGGTGTGTGTGTGGCTGGCAGAGCTGCAAGCCCAGACACAGCACTTCTGGGTGTGGGTGCTTCCAGCCCAGTGCCAGGTGCTTCAAATAGGCGTTTGTGTCAGAGATCTGAGGTCAGTGCAATGATAGCCCGTTTCAGCCCTGGATTATTACACAAATATTAATAAAACAGTGATGTATTTCACATTTATATTATTGGGCAGCAGGGTATTTGCCTACCCCTGTAGCAGTACTGGTGGGGAATATATTTCTCTTCAAGACAACCAAGAGAACTTATGAAGTTTGGCAAAAAATTTGTTCCCATTTTTAATGTAACCTTGTGAGTTCAATGTGAGAAGTAATTTTCTGTATACCAGTAGAGGAAAAGCAGAACAGAATAAACTCAAATGGGGTAGAAGTGCACTCTTCCCTTTAGTCTCCCTGCTGAATGACTCTTAATCACTTTTTACATCTTTGTAGCTTGATTTCTCTGCTTGTAAAAGGAACATAATGATACTGAAGTCCTAGTAAAGCATGCAGATCTGGGGGGAATAAATGCTGGACAAGTAGTATGAACTATTTTTATTTTTAAAATGCATTAAGGAAAAGGTACAGAGAAGGAATGAATTTTCATCTGGAAGAAGACCTAGGATTAACTTGTTGGCATAGAGTATTTGTTACTGCCCCCATTTGCTTTTAGGATATTAATCATTGACATTTTTATTGGTTCATCAGCCTTGTAATGCATTTTGAATCTGACCCAGGACTGTGTGGAGCAAATACTGGCACTTAGATTTATGCCAGCTTTACTCTCTGGCCACTCTTTGACATTTTTTACCAAATATCTTCCTGTGTGCTATGGGCTTTTTTTTTTTTTTTTTTTTTTTTTTTTTTTTTTTTTTTTTTTTTTTTTTTTTTTTTTTTTTTTTTTTTTTTTTTTTTTTTTTTTTTTTTTTTTTTTTTTTTTTTTTTTTTTTTTTTTTTTTTTTTTTTTTTTTGTGAGGTGATGGTGCGAGAGTTTGTTTTGTTTTCTTCACATTTTGAATCTGTGCTTTGAGGGGCTCTGCCAGTGATTTGGAGTTGTCCATGTCACAAATGCAGTGTAGGGGGAAGTACCACATGGCAGCTTCCCAGGAGGGGCACTGCCACCAGCACCTCTCCAGCTCATCCCACAGATCATTTCTTTAAAGAGTAAGCCTCGGTTCTTAACCCGAACCTTTGAGAAGAGGATGACCATGTGAGACACAGGAACTCTCCTGCTTTACACAGCCCTCGGGGAAGAGGGTGGGTGGCCAGAAGTGTGCATTGCTATTCCTGGGGAGGCGAAGCTTATGGCCCCCTTGGACACCTCCTCCCAGTAAATCTGCACCTAAGCCTTCCTGCCTGTTTTACACCTGTGTTAAGGTTTGGAATGCTGTCCATGCAGCAATCCTTTTTAAGGCAAACTCCGGAGCGCTCCTGAAGATGTAAATCAGCAGAGCCTGGAATGACGTCGGTGCCCCGTGTGCTCTGCCGGCCCTGCTGACACAAGACAGTCCTGCCTTTTCCGGCTCCCACGCTGTCCCCTCCCTGGCGCTGACACAGCCGGGAGGTGAAGAGTGTTGGGAAATACAGCCCGTTCAGATGTATCCCAGCGAAAAAACTGAATGGCTGCGGAGAGAGGAATTTGCTCCTTTTCAGGGTGTCACCGGCATATCCCGGATTAAAGTCTTGTCGGAACCACCCTGTAAGTGCCAGTCACTGCTCTCCCTGAAAGCCGGGAGCTTCCCTAGTGTGTCCCAACAGCTCCTGGCTAAAGGGAGTTGCGCTGCAACTGGAAACTCGATTAAGCGAGTCTCCAAACATTTCATTCATCCTCTCTTGATGCTTAATACACCTTTACTGTGGCGGGTCGCGCTTCCTAAGCCGGACATCGCAACTGAACAAAGGCTCGTCCCAAGGCTGGGTGTTGTGTAAATAAAATCGGTGCCGCGCAGGGTGTCACGGAGTTAATGCGGAGCCTGGAGAAGGGAGGGCGTGGGAGCACATGCCAGTGTTAACGTTCTGCTTTCTGCTCAGGATTGCAACAGGATTGCAACAGCCCGGCCTATCTGAGCTGCTGCACGTCCCGACAGCCTGTCTGCTCCGAATTTGATAGGGGTGGTGATAGAACAACACACCTTTCTGGGAAATGGTCATGGACAGCAACACTTCGTTTTAAGGCAATTTCAAATAAACCGTAGCAGTTTTCTTCTCGGAGTGGTGATGCTTTCCAGGTGGCCAAACAAAGGAAATCTATAGGGCAGCATTCACTCAAGGGGTAGTTTTGGGGTGAGGAGGGGGAATGTTGAAAATCCCGTGGACTTCAATAGCTGTGGTAATATCTCTGTGATAGCTCCGACTCCTTCACTTACTTCTCACAGATCAGTAATCAGGGAACAATTGACAGGAATAACCCCCCTGATAAAAATATACAGCTGTTTCTGAAACAACAGCATTTGATATGCAAAGCTGTGTGGTAAAAGGGCATGCTCAGGCTGTTTTTTCAGGCCTCATGGGAAGTTTTACAAAGAGCAAGCTACCTTTTAGCAAGCACTTTTCCGTTAGTTTCAAAATTCTCCTTTGCTTTTCTCTAGAATGATTTTCCCCAAAAAAAGTGATAGAAGCCATAAGAAAAACCTCAGCAGAGCTTACTGCTCCCTTACCCCCTTCCCTCCCTCTCTCCTCCCACAAACACTGGGAGCTCTCAAAAAATATTTTGGTATCCTGGAAATTAAAAACAGTGTCTTTAATTTGTATTTGTCTTGTGATGGCTCTGACTTTCACCACCTTGTCCTCCCCTTTGTTGGGAGTACGTGTGTGAGCACTCCCTCTAATGTTGTTTATGTGCCCACTGTCAGGTTCAATAAGCAGTTTCTTAGCAGGGCACCTTCCCACGTGAAGGAAATGTTTCCACTTCTTGTCCCAGCTTGTGCTTCTTCCATGTGCAGTGTCCTGATAGAGAACAGCACAAGTGGGTATCAGTGATATCAGTAATTCTTTGCTGATAAATAGAAATTAACTCTAAAACCTCATGAATCTACTGACAGATTAGTCCAGTGTACAGGACATTTTATAGGTGTTCTAGTTATGTGAGTTTTTATGTAGTGCTTGTTTTAAATTTAGGCATTTTATTAATAGTGGATCAGGAAAATTTTAGAACTGTAGGACACCGATGCATCTCTTTGGTAAAATGGAAAAGAATGTGGTAACCAGTTCAAGGATTCTCTATGTAAATAGGCATATTGCTAAAGAAAGTCAAGGTAAGTGTAAATGTGAATAATTGCTCCCAAGACAAAGAAAAATTGGCAAGCAGCCACATGGAAACTAGAAATTTAACTAGTTTTATGCCAATAAATCATCCTGGCGCAGTCACAGGGCTAGTCAAGTGAGTGGTAAACCCACAGCCAACCTGTAGGACCGAGGAGTTCCCCTTCACAGCTGGGTGTAGGTAAGTAAAATTTCCCAGAGCAGAAAAACACGTTGTAGAAGCCGCCGGATTTTCAGCTTTGAAGTGGAAGAGATACTTTCATTTTCAGTATCTCCATTAGAGCTTCTTTTTGTGAGACCAGGAGTGTGAACCCTTGTGTCTGAGCCAAAATTCCAACCTAAGCAGAATGTACTCATCTAAATTTCCCTTTTGGTTTCATTTGGCCAAGGTATTCCTGGGTGTAGTGTTGCTGTGTACTGTTACTGCAGTTGCTGTGCTGGGAGCTTGGGAAGGCGCCCGCCTGGAAGAGGTTACATAAAACCCAAACCATTATAAGCTCCGAGAAACCCCTGAGTGTGATGATTAAAAAAAGAAAACGATTAGGGAAAACACATCAAAGAGCCTCAGTGAGAGTCCTAAAAGGAAAAATACTGATTATATTTGTTTTGATTTTGTCTTAACATGAGGTAAAAGGCGTGTGGTGTGTCCTGGGTCGCCACCCTGAGGGGTGTGTACTTAAAGACAACAGAAGCAGACTCCAAGGCTTCCATGGGGTTTATTTTGGTTGCAGGGCTGGGAAGATAAGATATAATTGTACCATATACATAGTGGTGTGTATCAACCTGAGAGGTTGCACTTCCCATACACCCCTGAGCACCTTGCCTACCCTCTGCCTCCTAATCTGTGTCCAGCAGGAGAACTCCGAGCCTTCTGACCTTTCCAGAAACTTTCAACTGTGATTTTTAAAACAATCCCAGAAGTGTTTTTCTTTCTCCAAATGTGCAGTTCGTCTCTCTGGTGAAAGAAGTCAGAGGCATGAGATGGGTAGCATTGATTGCTAAAGCTGGTGTGCCAGTTCAGGTTCAATAAATTGTGAGTCTTAGGGGCTCAAAATTCTTTAGAATTCCACTCCGAGTCTGGGAATAAGAGTAGACATTTATTGATGGTCCTGTTGTTCACACTCCACCGGATTCTGTTATTTTAGAACAATGTTAGTTCCATTTTTAAAAGTTTTTTTAGACTTGCTCTGCCCTGGGAACCAGGTTAGAAAAGGTTTGAACTAATAAAATATGCAAAATGTGGTTTTAGGGCTCTCCTTTAATGTGGAAAGAGGAAGAAAAGTTTTAGTCAGTTATAACAAATCCAGTAAGGGAATTGTTTACTTAACGCTCTCACAGTTATTTATTTTAATATACCTTTTCAAAGCTTTTCAGCTGGATTTAGTTCATGTGGACTCACATATTAAATAGTGGTTTTTACGAATACGTGTTTTTCAGTTGTTGTTCTGACTTCAGTAGTTACAGTAATTTTCTTTCTGAATGCTGGCATAGTAGATCCTAAAAAGCTAAAGGAAAGTAATAGGACTTTAGAAAAGTGGAAATACTAAATATAATCCTTATAGACTTTGAATTTAGGTAGGAAGATAACATCTGAGTTTATTTGCCCATGAATGTAGATAGCATATATGCATTTATGAGGCAATAATGCCTATTATTTTCCTATACCAACAAAAATAATTGTAAAAAATGCCGGGTGTAGGAACACACTGTGTTGGTGGCAGTTGTGTGATGCACTGACTTTGCTGGTTCTTCAGGTTTGTCTTCAGCCTTGTCAGAGCTTTCCTGAGTTGGGGTCCAACTGCTGTTTCTGCAGTTCTGCTGCAGAAACTGGCTTGTACTTCATGACTTTGCGTATAACAAAAAAGAGGCTGCTTGGAACAAAACAAGGAACAACACCTCTCTTCTAGGTGAGAGATCCTTGCATTGTCCTGGACTCTGGAGAGCCGTGGGTGAATGAGCCAGACATGAGAGACAGGATGAAGGGCGTGGGGAGCAACACACCTGGCAGGACAAGAGAATTTGTCTGTGTCTGGGGTTTCCTGCCCTTGTGCATTAGGTACATGGAATTTTGTTCAGCTCAGGAGCCTCAACTTTTTTCCCTTCTTAAAAGAACTATTAAAAATGACTCTGTTTGTATTACCAGTGGACCTGGATTCATTTACTTTTGATCTGATGCTCACAAAACAGCAGAGCTGTTTGCAAAGGTTATAGCAGTGTAATGGCAAAAGCAGCAGTGACAAATACCTTTGTTTTTTCCCTTTTTTTCCCTTCTTATATCAAAGCTAAAACATAGTCTTGATTTATATGCAGAATTACTGATCTTAAAGCTGTATAATAATACATCTAAAGCCTAGCACAGCTTATAAATACACAAAGCATGTAACTTAATAGTTATTTGTGCTGAATCTTTTTTTTCCCTGCATACTCTGTCCTACCTTTGTTACTGAGGGCACTAATGCTGCACTAATGTAAGAGAAACAGCTGCATTTATCTTCATTTTATTCTCCCAAGTCACAGCAACGTGCTGGAACAAAAGCCACTGTCTAGGGCAAACCTTCTGAAAGTCTTTTAAGGGCATCCATCTGGGCAGACTCTGTGGTTGTGGGCGGGCTGATGCTGTAAATGTTCATCCCACTAATGGTCTCATTGATTTTTATTTACGCTCTTTGTAGGTTGGGCAGAGTCTCACTTTGAGTAAGAGTTGCAGAGAATGTGCTGAATTCTGGAACTGCAGGCGGGTGTTCCACTAAACCCAGTTTTCTCTGTCTGTTTTCAGGGTGGTTGATCAAAGTGGTGCCTCCCAAACAGACTGTCCTGTCTCCAGTGAAGCAGAGGAGAAGTGCAGTTGGTGAGCAGTGTTAAAAACCAGGTGCATAAGTTTGAAAATGTTGATCCAAATCACGTTATTATAAGTACTAGGGAAATGTCATGACTTACTGAGATTAAACAAAGACCTGCTTAGAATCTTGTGACTTCAGCTCATAAATGGATTTCATCACTCATTACAGCTGCATAAACAAATGCATGTGGTACATATGCATATTTTGTTTTGGGAAGCTGTTGTTTTTAAAATCCCCTCCGAGTTGTTTTTTTTTTAATTGCTCCTAATGAGCCAACGCTCCCTGGTTCTGGAGCGATGCCTCGTGTACCTGAGCAGCACAGCACACTCATTGCTTTTAAAAGGGAACACTTTCCCTGCTTTTGTCCCTTCCTGGCAGCTGAACTGCTTTGGCAAGCAAGTTCTTTTAAAGGAGGAATTTACAATATGAAACCTGGTGTCAAAACTTTTATTCCTTTTATGAAGGCAGCCTTGCCCTGGTGCTCCTCTGGAGCTGTGGAAACGTAATCCCTGCCCAGGCAACAATTGGAGAGAGTCCTACACACGTCTGAGCTCAGACTGAATAAGTTTGTCACGTACCTGGATATTTGTCAGTTGTTTAATATAATTTTTTCATGTTGTCTGTGGCCTTGTTTCTCCTGATGGGCCTCTCATAAGGAATCCTAGGAGTGGATGCCCTGTGATTACCCAGGGGAATTAGAGCTTCTCCCACGTTTCCTTGCCAATATGTTCCAAGTGGGATGTGGCAAGATTAATCCAAGTTTTGGTCTTACTGCTGTGATTGTTACCTGAAGGCACTAGTGGTGGCAGGAGTTTGTGATGTAGAGCAGACACTTGTCTGTGGATTTAAAAAGTGGTACAGATCAAAATTGTTGAGCCGTTTTCATATGTTTAGGTTCAAAGTCACTGTTTTCAGTTAAACCCATACTTTTTGGCATCTCCCGGCAGGCACTTATCAAAGTTTAACCTCAAGAAACCAAGATGGCAAAATATCTGGGTAATTTTTTTAATTTCAATGTACCATTTCATATTCAGGACTGGGAAGCTGGATTATTCCTGGATGGGTAGTGTCCCATTTTGATGTTACACTATAAATTGGTTTTTTAACCCTATCTAAAGGGAAATCACTTTCCCCCAATACCCCCTCAAAAATTCAAGGACACTTTGTGGCCATTTGCTGAGAAAGATTTGAAAATCAAATTTAAAAATGGATATTGCTGGGGAGAAACGTTACTTTTTTCCTATTTAATCACAGCCTCCTCTTTTTGCTTCTAAAAACTAGAGTCAGGAAAGAAAAAAGGACAACACTGTGGGACAGTTCATATCCAGGAGTGCTTACATATATATCCTGTATAGATGGATTTGTCCTGAAGTGCTTTAGTTTATTTTGCTCCCTAGAAAAATAAAATAGGTAATAAAAAGAAATGTCACTTCAACTGCATAAAGCTGAAATATTTTCGCTTTTCTGTCAAGCAGCCTTAATTTTCAGGCAGCTGAGGAGGAGTCAACCATGTGTTGTTCCTAAAGCTTGCTTAAACAAATTGCTGATTGTCTGAGGCTTGGAGTGTCCTGCTCCTTCTGTTAAAGCCTGTGGAGAATCCAGTTGCCCCTCACCTCTGGAAACCTGCCCTCTTACGTAGGCAGCTAAAAAGCTGCCTGACATTAGAGCCTTGTGCTCCGAAATGTTGCCATGAACGCCTTAAAATGTCATATTAATATCGAGTACAGTTCACCCCCAAACCATCTGCCTTTGCAGAGCTGAAAATGATGTTTCAATTAATTAATTTAGCTGTTCTGTTCCCTAATAAGGCCTATTTGAAGCGCTCGGAGGCTGCAGCCAGTGGGGCTGTAGGTCTGCACTGAGCAGCTGTGGCGTGGCCGAGAGTCTCCCTGGGCAGTGAGGGCTCCCGGGAAGCCCTGCCTGCCTCACCTGGATGTGCCTGCTGGGAATATACCTGCCTGTGTCCTTATAAGGCCGTCGCGCTGCTGCTGGGCCCTGTTCCTGCCCCGGCGCTTCCCGGCTCCGCTCAGCCACAGTCCTAAAAAGGCAGTTCCTTGCTCCCGCTTCCCACAGCAGAGCTCCCCAGGGAGCACAGCCCAGCCCTCCCGAGCCAGGCATTGCACTCACAGGGAGAGCCGGCCGGCTGGATTGTGCTGTTGCTTCTCCAGGAAGATGTTGTGTTTACGGGCACTGCTGGGGTTCTCCTTCCTCCCGTTCAGTGAATAATGAAAAGTATAATGCGGTGCGGTGTCCGAGCCGCTCCGCTGGAACACTTCAGTAATGGGATAGATCCCTGTAGGATCCCGCACGGGGAAGGAGACGCTTGGTGGGAAGTAGTTCAGAGCTGTGGTCTTGAAAGCATATTAGGTTATGGGTTTATAATAGAAAGTCCTCGGCAGCAACATGAGCTCAAAGCAATTCACGTCCTTTTCCTTCCCTCCCCTGGCTGCCGTTCCTGCTCTTTGCCTGTGCTCGCTCGGTTCTTTGTGGGGCCGCTCTGAGTTCTGGGGTTCGTTTGTGCTGAAAGCCAGAAAAGGGGTTTCTGCTCAGACTCACAGCGTGGCTTCACAAAACGTTGTGCTTATGTAACTGAGTGAGTGCTGGGTAGGAAAGAGGGAGAAAAAACCTTAGTTTTTAATACCCTGTGCTCTTCCTAATGTGAAACCAAAGCTGCTGCACTCTCCTTCTGAATAAAAACTCTTCAAATGCTGAATATTTTATTAGATATTTTTACGACTCTAATTGAAAATTTCTGAAGGATCTGATTATTGGCTTATTTATTTCACATGCCAAGTTACAAGCTTAGTTACAGTCTGATAGACTTGAAGGACAAGTTCTTTACTGGAAATTTTGGAAAGGCTTGAATATGCTAATTCAAAAGGGGGTTTACACGAGATTTTTTCTTTTTATTAAATCAACAAATCATCCTGGCTCGATTTGAAAAAATTAAGAGGAGTGTTTTTCGAATTTAAGATCTGTGAAATTCTGGCACTGAGGGGTTCCATGCTCATTTCAGAAAGGGGCTTAAAATAATTCTTTTTCCAGGGGGCTGCTTGGGAACAGTCCTTGGCTGATATGTTGTGTGGAGCGTGTGGGACGTTGGGGTGCAGCTCTCAGCCCTGAACACGCTGTACTCGGGCACAGCCCTTTGTCTCCTCAGAGCCACGCGCTTCCTTCGTTTATCAGGCTGCTCCTGGCAATCCTGCTCAACCTTTGGACTTTATGGCCTCTCTCAGGATGTAGCACTGGTTCCCTAATATCTCTTCTCTTGTCTTTTGCCAAGTTTCCAGTAGGCAATGTGGCCATGACAAGCAGGGTCACAGGTGCTGAAGGAACTCAGCAGCACGGACAATGGTTGTTATAAAACTGCATTCTGCAGTTACAAGGATGAAGTACTGCTGCTCTTTATGAATCTGGCATGCCATCCTCATCTGGGTTTTTTTGAGTTTCTAAGGTGTTTTCTAGCTCCTTTTGTCCCAGTGCTAGGTGTGTGCTGTGGATTTAGTAGGTGGGGTTAACAGTTCTGATGGCAGAGATTAAAAAAGAAAAAAAAGGGAGATTGCCATGCACTCATTTAGCTCTGTATTTTCTAATGTTGTTTTTGTACTGCTGGTTCCTTAAATATCTGTCATGTAAAATGGTAAAACAAGTTATTCCTATGTTGGAATGGTAGTAAAGGAGATATTTAGGAAGAAGCAGATCAAGCAATAAGGAAGAGGGTGATTAGAGAGAATCGCTGATCGGGCAATAAGGAAGAGGGTGATAGACACTCTGGTACCACGAGGCAGGAGATGACACACGTCTATGGAATTTGATAATTTAGGAGGAGCATTTACAGCTATAGATTTTGGACACTAAATATAGCAGAGAATTGTTTAACAAAACCCTGACTGAAAAAGGGCTGCTCCTGCCTCTGCCAGGTAGGGGGTAAAGGTTATGGTAAAGGAATATGGTGAATAGCACTCCCTAAAAAGTTCTTCCCCTCGGTGTTTCCTGTTGGTTGTGGTCCCAGCATACGCCATGTGTTGTCATGGTTTGTGACCCCAGAGCCTTGGAAGATGTGTGTTTTTGGGAAGACACACACATGAAATGACAGTGGGACAGCAGTTATTCTGAATTAAGAAAGTGCCCACATGTAGTTTTTAAATGAAAACCAATAAGCTAAACAATAATCATTGCTTATCTTCCATACTCTGTGATTAAAGCAGATTAAACTGTCAAGGTCTGAGCTGGTTCTCCCCTTGACTCTGCTCTTGTGACACCCCACCTGAAGTACCACATCCAGCTTTGGGGGCCCCAACATATGGAGGACCTCTTGAAGTGAGTCCAGAGGAGGCTGAGAAGATGCTGCAAGGGCTGGAGCCCCTCCACTCTGGAGACGGGCAGGGAAAGCTGGAGGTGTTCAGCCTGGAGAAGAGAAGGCTCCAGGGAAACCTTAGAGTCCCTTCCAGTGCCTAAAGGGGCTCCAGGAGAGCTGGAGAGGAACTTCTGACAAGGGTCTGCACAAGAAGGAATGGTGTTAAACTGAAAGAGGGCTTTTAAATTTCCAGAAGAATTTCTTCCCATTGAAGGTGGTGAGACCCTGGCACAGGTTGCCCAGAGAAGCTGTGGCTGCCCCATCTCTGGGAGTATTCAAGGCCAGGTTGGATGGGCCTTGGAGCAACCTGGGATAGTGGAAGGTGTCCCTGCCATGGCAGGGGGTGGAATGAGCTTATCTTAAAGATCCCTTCCAACCCAAACCATTCTGTGATTCCATGAAGAGTTCTTTATGCACAAAAAGCACACTTGAATGCACCCAAACCACCATCAGCCTGAGTGAACAGCCCCCATCTCATGCTCAGTAGTGCCTTTCTCAACCTGTGATTGTGCTTTTCTTAGTCCAAAATGCAGAGTTCTGCCTGGGGCTCTCACTAGTCCTTGTTTTTGTATAAATTTGTAGCAGAGCAACTTCAGTGGGGTTGGTATTTTTTTATAGACTATTCCAACTGTGATCTTTGAACGCATTAATAGTGAAATGAAGGACGCAGCC